GATCCGAACCCTCGGCGGGAGCGCCACCGCGCTCCCAAGCGGCGCACTCTCCAGTGCGCCACCGGGCTGGCCCTGAAGAACTTTTTTTATGTTGTACTATCTCTGTCCTTTTTAGTCCAAGCTGGTGATGTTTCTGTATATGTAATTCTCTTAAAAACTTGATGGATTTTCTATGAATCTTCCTGGAGTCCACTCCATTGGACAAATGCAACACCCACAAAGCTCTGTAAGATAAGCCCTTCTCTACCTTGGGTTTCTGCAGGCAACTGAGGGACAACACCCTTAAGCTTCCTAGAAGGACTATCCTTTGATTGAGAAAGTCTGTGCAGTGCACCTGTCATCCCTCCCTACAGAGAGCCTTTTGTCTGACTGAATAGTACTTTGAGGTGCCACCTTATACCTTCCTGAAATTAAAAAAAGAAAAGGTTTTACAGTCACACTCAAGGATTCATCTCTGAACCACGCTTTTTCTGTTAGGACCCTGCATTTGATCTTTACTTGGAATTTATTTCTTAATTATAGCATTATTTATCATCAGGAAAGCTGAGAATTTTCAGTACCATCCAGTCCTAGCTCTTTTTTGTTTAATGGTCCTTTCTTTTGTTGATCTCTCTCCTTTAGCATCTTGTTAGGAGCAACTAGAAGTAACTAGGTAGCATTTCCAACACTCTGATTCAAAATATCCTTAACTAGATCACCCAGTGCATTTGCTTCTGTCCACATAAGTGCAGGAACAGCATTGCTAAACTTTCTGCCACTGCGTAACAAGGATCCCCTTCTTCCAGTTTCTCCCTCACTTTGCTACAAGCAAAGCATCTACCTGTCTTAGCATCTGCCTCACTTTGCTATGAGCACTCACCTACAACCTTTAAGGTCCCAAGTCTTTTACTAACAGCTTCTTCAGGTAACTGAAAGCTTTCACTAACACTCTCGAGAAAGCCCTCTGCCCCGTTCCAAGCTACCCTCACACACAGTTTTTGTCACAGCAGCACGCCGCTTGCAGGTATCAAAATCTGTACAAACAATATATTGATTGCTTCATAACAATTTAGCCCCAAATTTAGCAGCTTAAAACAATAAACATTATTCTCTTGCACAGTTTGTGAGGGTCAGGAATCTGGCTTAGCTGTCTGGTTCTGGCATCAAGATGTCCACTGGGGTTGCAGGTATCTGACACTTGTCTGAGGCTGGAGGATTTGTGTCTGAGTTGGCCCAGCACATAAATATAAGTCAGAGGACTTCTTGTCAAATGGGCCTCTCCATAGCGCTACTCAAGACATGGAAGCTGACTTCCCCCAGAGCATGTGACCTGAGAGAGAAAGCAAGACACACACACACACACACACACACATGCACGCACATGCACACACACACACACACACACACGCGCGCACATGCACACACACACACATGCACGCACATGCGCACACACACACACACACACACACACGCAGAGAAGGAGAGAGAGGTGGAAGTCACAGTGCCTTCTATAACCTAATGTTGGAAGAGGCATACTATCACTTTTGTTTTCTATTGGTCACATGGAGCAGCCACAGTGCGGTGTGAGAGACTACACAGGGGTGTGAATTCCCAGAGGCATGAGCCAACTATTAAAACATTGAGGGGTGAAATGTCATGTTGTCTATCATTTCCATACTTCAGAAAAAAAAATTGATGAAGCAAATTTAGCAAAATATTATCAATCATTATATCTCAGTCTGGGGCATATGGGACTTTATTGTACTCTTTTTACTTTTTTTACTTTTATTTTTACATTTTCATAATAAAAAGTAAAAAAAAAAAAAGAAAAGTGAATTTAGGCTTTCTGTCTGGAGTGACAAGATGGCCTGCTGGCTCAAGAACCTTCTAGAAACCAGCTACTTTCTTCTTACCCAGCCTCTGGCTTGTCTTTACCAGCAGTGCCTGCCCTGCACACAAGATTCGGTGCTTTCCATGCAGGCTCCCTGCAGGGGTACTGAGGGGCGGGGGGGCTGAGTCAGCGACATGGCCCTGTAAGTGGTGACAGATGAAGTGGAGCATGTTCTCCCTCAGGTATTGAGATGTTCCGAAACACACCAGTATTTCTTCTCATTTTGTTCCAAAATTTCTTCCGAGGAGCAGTTCCATGGAATACTTTTCCTGACCTTGCCTTCAAGGTCAGTGTTAATCACTGGGGTTTGAGTAGAGTCAGCAGTTGTGTTTAACTTTGCCCTTGCCCTGTTTGTTAATTCAGCTTGAAATCATTCTATCCCTGGAATTTAGTTCCTTATTTCATAATGAAAAATAAAAACAACTCTGGAGGGGTAACCAGCAGTGACTGCTGAGTCACTGCTCTTAATTTATAAGGAACTCTGTGATATCCTAGTGTTCACGTACACTGAGAGATTCTATAAGAATGAAAGTTTTAATTTCTTTGAAGATCCTAGAGTAAACATTCACTTGTGAGATGAATTTTCCAGAGGAGTTTGGAACTAAAATTGGTGAAGCTGGAAATTTGCCATTGTGGGTGTTGCAAGCAGTTTGAGCATTGTAGGACGGAGGCAAGAATGTTTGTTTAGGGCTGGCCCTTGGATTGTTCTGGGTAATAACACTTTGGTAACTTCTTTTAATTATTCAGATGTTTAAAAGATACCTACCCATTATTTTAGAGAAATCCCAAGGTAGTAAAACAATTCATTTGCAGATGTTTCAGACTGGGATGTGGAGGTTATAGAAAAACGCAAACTCATTTCAGTTTCTCCCAGGATACCCTCACAACACACTTCAGACACTGTGTGTGGGGGTCTCCTCACACACTAAGCAAGCGATTCTGCAGCGGACACCAGCTGGGTGTCCTCCAATTCAATTCAATTCTGACACTATCTACCTGCAGATAGTCGGATCCCATGGATCAAGGACTCAGAACCCAAGACTCTCTACCCCTCCTTCCTGCATCTGATGCCAGTCTCAAGACCCAGGTTGTTTTATCTGTGCTTCTGACCAATTGGATATAAACTGGGTTTCCCACAATCCCCTCCTTTCCCACAATCCCCTCCTTGGATTAAATTAATTTGCTGAGTGGCTTCCAGAACTCAGAAAAACACTTAAGTTTACTGGCTTATTATAAAAGATATTACAAGGGATACAGAAGAAGGTTCCCACAACCCCCTCCTTGGATTAAATTAATTTGCTGAGTGGCTTCCAGAATTCAGAAAAACACTTAAGTTTACTGGCTTATTATAAAAGATATTACAAGGGATACAGAAGAAGAAACGCATAGAGCAAGGTATGGGGAAAGAGACATGGAACTTCCATGCCCTTCCTGGGTGCACCATCCTCCAGGAACCTCCAAGTGTTCAGCTATCCAGAAGCTCCCTGAACCCTGTGCTCTTGGGTTTTTATGGAAGCTTCATTATGTAAGCATGATTAATTAAATCATTGGCCATTGGTGATCAACTTAACTTTCAGCCCCTCTCCCTTCCCCAGAGGTTGGGGGGGGGGTGGGCTCAAAGTCCCAATCCTTTAATTCTGCCTTGGTCTTTCCTGTGACCAGCCCCTATCCTGAAGCTAGCTAAGGGCTGCCAGCCATCTGTCAATTTATGAGCATAAAAAAAGACACAACTTTGGATATTTTAATGATTCTAGGAATTGTGTGCCAGGAAAGGGACAGAAACAGGGATGAAGACCAAGTATATACTATATTTCAAAATATCACAGAAGGGCCCTGCTTGAGGGTAAATTAATATATCTCTAGCAGAATAACACTGTCTTAGTCCGTTCCAGCTGCTATAACAAAACACTATAGACTGGGTGGCTTAAACAACAAACATGTATTTCTCATAGTTCTGGAGGTTGGAAATCTGAGATCAAGGTGCCAGCAGGATTAGATTCTTGGTGTGTACCCTCCTCCTGGTTTGCAGATGAGGAAGCAATGTCTTGTATATCTTCTTGTAAGGCCACTAATCCCATCTGTGAGGACTCTACCCTCATGACCTAAGCACCTCCCAAAGGCCCCACCTTCTAATACTACCCCATTGAGGGGTTAGGATTTCAACATATGAATTTTGTGGGGTCACAGACATTCAGTCCATAACAACACCTTTGCAGTGGGGGGGACAGGAAGCGTGCTCACTGTTGTATGATGGCTTGGTGATGTGTCCACTTGGCTAGGCTGACCTCTATTTCCCAAAATTCCCTTTCCTTTTATGTTTCCAGTTTGGGTGAGCTATAATAGATGCGTTCTCCTGAGAGCTGGGGAGGGAAGGGAGGCAGCAGCCATTCTGTAGCTCAGTGAGTTGGTGACCTGCTGACTCGCCTCTTTGGTGTGAAGCAGCAGCTGGCCCTGGAATTGCTCTCCTTTCCCCCTGGAGCTTCCTTCTGCTTCTCTGACTCCTGGGCCAGATGTGTGAGTGTAGCTCCATCATGAAGAGCTCCAGCGTCTGCAGCATACTTACCACCAAGGTCAGACGCCAAGATGGACACAAGTACCAGGCTGTTTTTGTGGGGTTCTGGTTTTTGCTCCTCAGGTTCCAGTCTGCTCTTGATCTTTCCTCATTTTCTGCCTGTGTGTGAACTTCGGCCTTCAGCACTGTACATGGAGACTTAAGGAGACTGCTTAGCCAACCCCCATAATTTTGTAAGCTGATTCCCTGTAATAAACAGCGTATGTGTAAATGTATATGCATATGGGTATGTGTATATTTCCTGTGGTTCAGTTTCTTAGGGTCCACCCTGGAGCTTCTGAAAGAGGGGCTCTGTGGCTTAACAAGCCCTCTGGGGATTCTGATGCATGCCTACATCTGAGAACCAGATTGAGTCTAAGCCCCTCGCTTTACAGTTAAGGAAGCTGAGTCTAAAGAGAAGGAACATGTCTTTGAGTTAACTCAGAGAGTGGAAATTGGAAGCACCCACTCACTGAGCTCTGGGTTTTTGTGTTTTCTTTGATGGCTGGCCTACACCGGGATCCAAACCCTTGACCTTGGTGTTACAACACCACACCGGCCAGCCCCTGAACTCTGCTGTTTTAAGGAGAGAATAGTCACAGTGGCTGTCTCCAGAAACCTCCTCCCTTCCTCCCGCCTCCCCCCTCTCCTCCTCCCCTCCCCCCTCTCCCCCCCCCCTCCCCCTCCCTCCCACCCCCCCCCCCCCCTCCCCCTCCCTCCCACCCCCCCCCCCCCCTCCCCACCTCCCTCCACCCACCCCTCCCCCCCCCCCCCTCC